GGAAAACCCACTCCCCTTGTGTCCCCGATGTAGGCTGCAGGAGATTAGATTAAAAGTGCTATTACAGGTAGCGTGGTGCTCTGGAATCTCTGACATAATCTCTGACGCTGGTTCAAAGGTTTCCAGGGCACTGCACGTCTCATTGCATGACAGACACATGTTTCAGTGACACTATAATTACTCTCCTCTTTACTAATTGTTACAGAAGGATGTCAACAGTGTTACATTTCCGGCTCTATTGTTTTGCCTTTTGAGCCAATACAAAAAAAGAAACTGAAATATCTCAAGAACCTTTTGATGGATTTCTATAGAATTTGGTAGAGATATTCTGTGTCCCAAAATGACGTACTGACATGTGTTCACTGCTTTTGCTCTAACTCTCAACTAAAATGAGACTGATATTTTAAGTTAAATGTATCCAGCAAACTCCTGGATTGATTGCCATGAAATGTCCTACACGCAATTATGCATTATTATTATTATTTTGCTTAACAACTTTAGTTTTATTTTTCCATATAGGACAAGATCAGTTAAAATGTTTTAAAGACGCTGCCAGCTCTAACAAAAATCTTGACTCAGCTCTGTTTAATGCTAATTTATGTTAGCAAACTAACATGCTAAACTAAGATGGTAAACATGGTAATATTAAATTGTTTAAACTTCAGCATGTTAGCATGCACCGTTGTGACGAAAAGGGAGCTGAGCCAGAAGGCAAAGCTCTCTGTCTCCCGCGCCATTTTCGTTCCTACCCTCACCTATGGTCATGAAGGATGGGTCATGACCAAAAGAATGAGATCGCGGGTACAAGCGGCAGAGATGGGTTTTCTCCGCAGGGTGGCTGGTGTCTCCCTTAGGGATAAGGTGAGAAGTTCGGTCATCCGGGAGGGACTCGGAGTTGAACCGCTCCTCCTTCGCGTCGAAAGGAGCCAGTTGAGGTGGTTCGGGCACCTAGTTAGGATGCCACCTAGGGAGGTGTTCGAGGCACGTCCAGCTGGGAAGAGACCAAGGGGTAGACCTAGGACCAGGTGGAGGGATTATATCTCTTTGCTGGCCTGGGAGCGCCTTGGGATCCCCCAGTCAGAGCTGGTTGATGTGGCCAGAAAAAAAGTTTGGGGCTCTCTGCTGGAACTGCTGCCTCCGCGACCCGACCACGGATAAGCGGGAGAAGATGGATGGATGGATGGATGTTAGCATGCTGACATTAGCATTTAGCTCAAACACTTGAGTACAGCCCCACAGGGCAGCTTGTAAGACATTCGGCCCTTGTCTTGTTTCTTCTATTTCTCACTTTATTTTACCATTTCAACTTTGACATCCCTGACACCTTTTCTTTCTAATACTTTTTCTTCCTGCTCATTTTCTACTTTTCTGTTCCTTCATCTTTTCTTCCTCCAGCAAACAAAAACTGAATGTCCATCCAAAACTGACTGCAGAGAGCCCCAGAGGACACTGCATATTTTCACCCTGCCCTAACACACACGCACACATAACCCCTCTCAGCTGCCTGTCCAATCACCACGCCCAACTGCATGACATCAGGCTGTGATGTCATCATGGGACCAATGCTGGCAAGCTGTCCAGCGCAACTTCATCATCAGCATCCCCTGGCAGCGGAGGACGAGCCTCGAATGGGAGGCAGCTGGATTGTAACAATTCCTTCACCCTTTGCACGTGTGTGTGTGTGTGTGTGTGTGTGTGTGTGTGTGTGTGTGTGTGTGTGTGTGTGTGTGTGTGTGTGTGTGTGTGTGTGTGTGTGTGTGTGTGTGTGTGTGTGTGTGTGTGTGTGTGTGCGCGCGCATGGGGAGCAGAGGGGAGGCTAAAAGACGCAATAGCTCTAATTCATCAATCTGAGCCAGATGGAGCTCTGCTTTCTTTGGCTAGTTGGTCCTGTTTATTAAAAGGCTTTCTGTGCAGATTCACATCGTGTTTGTCAATATTTCAACCACAAGGTAAATATTACAGAGAAAATTCAGAGAGGAATGCGAGGCACGGGGAGACAGAGATCAGGGGAGAAGGGAGGAAAGATAGACACGTGAAGAGAGTCTGAGGAACAGAAAAAGAGGGCATGGAGGGGAATGGACAGTACAGGATGGGTTGGGATGACAGAGAGGCGATGAGTGACAGGACAGGATGGGACGGGACAGGACAGGGAATGGTACAGTCGGTGAGGTGAGGCTTCACATGGTTGGGCGCAACAGGAAAAGGGTAAAGATATGATGATGGGTGTAACAAATGGGTAGGTGAATGGGGACCAAAAGAGATTTAAGAATCTTTTTTTTTAAATCTTTTTATTTTAGTTTTTTATAAACAAACAGCCAGACAGACAGCACAATAGCAGTTGGCAAACAAATTAGGATGACAGCAATGTGATTCGAGTCCGACAGGATAAAAAACAAAGACAAAACAAGAATAAAAAATAACTTGTTGGTCAGTCAGCCGCCCACTAATCACAGTTTAACACCACAGGTCCACCACCCTGTTGTACAAAGACATCCGGCATGTCAAGCTCCCGTATAGACTTGTAGAAGGGGTTCCACATCTTGTGGAATTTCCCCAGGGAGCCCCTCACTATGCACCTTATTTTCTCGAGTTTGGCTGAATTTAGGACTTCTTTTAACCACAAGGTTTGTGAAGGGGATGTTGGAGACTTCCACATGAGCAATATCAGGCGTCTGGCTAGTAAGGTAACAAAGGCTATGAAGGCTGTCTCCAGAGAAGAGAGTGGCCATGTGGGTGGGGTTACACCAAACAGTGCGGTCATGGCATTAGGAGCGATCGGTTTTCCAGTGATTTCTGACAGTGATCTAAAGATGTCAGTCCAATAAGAGTGTAAGACCAGAACATGTGTGCGTGACTAGCCAGTGCTTGGCTACATCTCTCACAAGTTGGGTCCACCTCCTTATATATTTTAGATAGCTTAGTAAAGTGTGTACGATGCACTACTTTGCACTGAATCAGTCCATGTCTAGCACAAATAGAAGATTTATGTACATTAGCGAGGGCTTTTTCCCAAAGTTCTTCAGAAATCTCCTCCCCAAGATCTGTTTCCCAAAGAGATTTAATGGAGTTCAGGGTAACCAAACGAAGAGAATAAATCTGAGCGTAAATACACGTCATCATTCCCTTCAGAGTAGGTAACGGCCTAAGGAGTGTGTCTAGCGGCGAATCAGTTGGGTGATTAGGAAACTGAGGAAATCTATTATTAACAAAACTGCGAACCTGTAGATACCTGAAGAAATGTTGCCTAGGTAGTGCAAATGTATCAGATAGCTGTTGGAAAGGGGCAAATGTGTTGTGAATATAAAGGTCTTTGAATGTTTTAACGCCTTGGTTAAACCAAATAGTAAATGCACCATCTTAGTAGATGGTGCATTTACTATTTGGTTTAACCAAGGCGTTAAAACATTCAAAGACCTTTATATTCACAACACATTTGCCCCTTTCCAACAGCTATCTGATACANTTGGCAAATTTTATTTTGGGGGAAAAAGGGTTTTTTGGGTTGTTCTTTAGAACTACCCCAATCCCTGAAAAGAGCCAAATTAGACCAGGCAGAATATGGGAAAGGTGACAAAAAAGCCCATAACTTGAGAATGACAACTATTTTCCTCTTCAGATTTGCTGAGGTATGAACCAGGTGGCTGTCATACATCACCAAATAGTCAGACAATTATTTAACTAAGACAATACTGAATTATAGTCCTGTAAACTTAGCTTTAGTTTAGATGGAAATTTACTTTTTGGTGAGAGGAACATAGGACTCCATCACTTTTCTCTCATTTATCAGAAAAACAGAAATCCCTAAAAAATATACCATTACTGAATTGTCTAGTGTGCTATTGAACACTAACCAGTAGTTATATGGAAATATCTGGTACAGTTCTATTGCAAATGAGATTTCTTTAGACATAGGCCTCCCAGCTAGCGGGGAACGTTCTCACAACTTTGGCTAACGTTACCTATTGGTTCTAATAAGGTTTTAAAGAAACGTTTTAATCTGATGTTCAAAGAACCTTTTTAGGATGTTTATTTTTTCAAATAATGTTCCTATAAGGTTTGAGGTTAACTAAGACATAACGTTTTAACTGCAACATTCAGAGGATGTTTTGAGGATGTTATTAAGGCCTGAGATGACAGAAAGTTTTTTTATAAAACGTTCCTTTAATGTGATATGTTAACAAAGGTGGAACGTTTTGCCTGCAACATTCTAAGGATGTGTTTTGGACGTTGTTGGGTAACACACTAAAGATGTTCTTTATAAAACGTTCCCTCAATGTTAAATGATAACAAATGAAGAATATTCTCCAAGAAACATTCTGAAAATGTTTTCAGGATGTTATTCTTTTTTTATAAAACGTTCCTGTTATGGCAAATATTAACACGGTCATGGTCAACGTCAGATTTATTTCTGGAGCGCTTTAAAAAACAAACTTGTTGCATTTGTTTGAAAGGGATGTTTAAAAAAAAATCTGATGTCACCACATTTTCCTTTTGAAAAAAACAAACAAGCACGTAATTCATGATAAGCAGTAAGCAGATATTGCATGTTTGCGGTGGCATGTGTGAGTTCCCAGCTAGTAAATGTTTGTTACCATTCGTTGTTCTAGGAATGTTTTCAGTCGGGACGTTTTATTTTGGTTCCCTAGTAATGTTCTTCTGAAAGGTAGAATAACGTTCTTTAAAAACATTCTTGAAATGTTTGGTGATAACCTTCTTAAGATGTTTTTGATAACCTTCTTATGATGTTTTTGATAACATTGTTAGAACATTATGCCCTACTGTTCTTAAAATGTTTTCAGCTGGACGTTTTAGTTTGGTTCCCAGAATGTTCTTCTGAATGGCACTGTAGGATAGCGTTCTTTAAAAACATTCTGGAAATGTTTGGTGATAACCTTCTTAAGGTGTTTTTGTTAACCTTCTTAAGATGTTTTTGATAACATTGTTAGAATATTATGCCCTACTGTTCTTAAAACATTTTCAGCGGGACTTTTTATTTTGGTTCCCAGAATGTTCTTCTGAAAGGTAGGATAACGTTCTCTAAAAACATTGTTAACATTTTTGGTGATAACTTTCTTAAGATGTATGAGCGCATTGAGACAATGAATAGGACGTATAAAAACGAATTTATGCATGCCAATATTCATTCACATGCACTTATAATCACACTAAGGTATGTAGGCCCACAGTATTCATAATATAATAGTGTAAAATATCCGAAAATAATCACACTTTTTTCTGACTATAAAGGTTGCGTCTCGTATGTAGGTTCTAACTGTTAGATAAGCTATCTGGCCGTGTGTGGTTTGTGAGGGCTGCGTATAAACAGTGTCTGCTGTTTATGCATATTGGATAAAAATCGTTATTGCACCCTTTAGATTTGAGACCGACAGACATATAGAGTCCCCCCCCTGCCTGCTGGTCTGCTCGACACGGCTGGGAGCAATCTCCAATAAACTACACCTGCAACCTGCTCATCAGCCACACTATGAAAATCTGCAGCCTGCACTTATTCCCTGCCGGATTGTTGCCGTGAACGGTTTGTTGCGTGCCGCTCTAGCTTTTTACCAGCATATTCTTTGACAACTTTGCCTTCTTTTGCCTCACACACATTTGTATGTCTCTGCCAGGAGGAATCCAAGGCCTTCCACACTCCCAAGACCAGCCAGGCCTCTCTACCCACCCTGGAACAACTGTTTCCCACTGCTGCCATTACCAACCTCCACTCCCTGCTCCCCTTTTATAATATACAAATGTTACTTTCACCAGCTGATTCTGTGTCATGTGTTAATAGTCAAATTCCAATAGTTAAGTAAACTATCAAAATCATCCTAATGACCACAGTGGTCAGTCCACTTACCCAGGAATTTTGAGTTGAACAATTACAGGAATATTATGTCTTTATGTTCTAATAATGTAAATGTTTTAAACATAAAGCATGTTATCCTTCTCTTAAATAATAACATTCTGGCAACATAAACAAATCTAACTTGCAGCTGAAAACATTTTATGAACAGTAGGGCATAATGTTCTAACAATGTTATCAAAAAAACATTTTAAGAATGTTTTTAGAGAACGTTATCCTACCTTTCAGAAGAACAGTCTGGGAACCAAAAGAAAACTTCCCGCTGACAACATCCCTAGAACAATGAATGTAACATTCTCAGAATGTTTTTAGAACCAAACATTTCTAGCTGGGAAGCTATGCAAACACATCCTGGAGGTATCCCTCTGATCTGCAGACATTTTAGGTTTTTTATATTCTTAACTGAAGAAAACAGAAAACCATGTTATCTCATATTCCTCCTCATTCTAAATATCTCACTGCTAAGCTGGTCATAAAAACATTTAAACACAAGATTTAACCACTGTCTGATGTTTATCCAGTGTGCTGGTACTGTGTATTGCCCTGACTGTCAATTTTTGTTTGCCTACCAAACCCTGCATAAAATCCAGTTTAAAGTTTATTTAATCTGATCACAATAATCAATCATTTTGTATCACTTGGCAGGGGAAATGAATTATTAACTTTTAGCACCAGGTTATAATGAGAAGCATCTTACATCTAACATTTTATATTTTTATTTCTGTGCTCCACCACACCTTGAAAAAAGGGAAATTGCTTTCTCTCTGTCCATCTCTGTTTTTCTTTAAAACATTTGTGAATTTTTCTAATATTGTAAACCAAGTTTTCAGGTGTACAAAAAAATCCCCTAAAACAATGTTTATACAGCAAATTGCAAGTGTTGATTCTTGACATAAACAGTTTACTTCACTTGTGAGATGTCTATTCATGCTGTTTTGACTGTGCTCTCCTTGCCTTAAAGTGGGCGGGACACTGTAAAAAAAATGAATGCCAAGTACCAATCAGGATGTTGCAATTATGAAATTAAAATCAGATGACAGTTAATGGATTGTTGCTGGGTAACTGTCAATTAAACTGGATGAAACCACAGCCGCACAGTGCTGATGAAGCAGATTCTTTCTGACTGTAAAACTTTTAATGAATAATAGTGAATTCTTACTTTAAAAAGTTGCATATAATATATAATCATGAATATTAGAATTAGAGAGAAATACTTAAAATTGTGTGTGTGATTTTAGTGGTGAAAGGACTTATTCAATATCAATCGGAATGTTTACAGTTGCTCATTCCTCCCCAGATGTTGCCTCATGTGGTACAGATGAGCTCATTTCATTGGCTAAATGACAAATCAAGCTTCTCCTCACTCACAACACAACAGTATCTGAAGGCTCGGGTCAGCGCAAGCATTATTTTCAGATGAGACTTTTTAACCTCTGAACTTGGCGAGGAAGAAGAGCATGTGCTCGTTTCACAAGAGGTATGGCCCCTGTTCGCTGAAGGTGACGCATGGAGTCAAGAATGTGCTGATTTCAGATGTGGCGAATGGCAACCATGATGATTGTCAAATCCTTACAGTGTTGTTATTGAAACCATGTTTCACTCAGCAGGAGAGACTCAAACCATTTTTTTGGAGGGCCAGTGAACCACAGCTAACGTAACAGTAAATAATTTTCAGATCTGAAGGCTGATTTTGAAAGCGTGTGATGAGTCAGATCAACTCTTGGATCAGGCATCAGTGGCGTACGATCATAGGATGATTGGTGCCTCTGATGATTCGCTGTCGCAAGTTCAACTTTTAATCAGTTTTTTGGATTGAACCCCTGCTTTTTATTCTGTAAACAAACTCTTATTCAGTGTGGGATGTAAATTCTGTTTCATGTTGAAATGTTAATGTTGGAATGACACAACAAATGAGCAGTCCAGTGAAAGACTCGCATTGAGTACTCGGCCACTTCCAAATGTTTAATTTCTAAAGCTCTTAGACAATGAAGGATGGAGCAAGATAAACAGAAATGACACTGCAAACTGAAACAATGCAACTGTGAACTCAGCTGTGACTTTATATTGGATTACCATTTCATTTGTGCTGTCTGGAGTTTGGTATTTAACCAGGATTCATAGCAGGAGTTTGTCAAATTCCTGTGGTTATTGCCCCGAGAGAAAATCATTGTTTGCAATGCTAATTCATTTAGCTAGTCAGAGACACTACTGTAGTTAAACCGGTTTGGATGCAGAGGATTGTTCTGTAATAATTGTAGCTTATTAGAAATGAGAAATGTTCCCCCTCGAAAGGCAATAAATCATAATTTTTACAATCATATTGGACAGCGTATTTTATAAAAGTCATAATGAATCTTTGTTATACCAACATTGTTGCTGGGTTTCAAAGGATTCCTCTGGGAACAATCTGACTGGCCACCATCAATCTTTCTGTGTCGAGGGGGGAAAATTGGAGGTGGTTAGCACATTATATCATTATAGTAATCATAACTTCACTTAGGCAGTGTGTTTGTGGGTAAACTCAGTGATCCTAGAAAAGTGTTTTCAATCGCAATCCTAAACATAATGTGAGATAATGCTAAGTATTTCTCAGTCTACAATGTTCGGCTATTATAATTGATATTATTTTTACTGTTTTATCTGGCAGTACAACAGCTCACTCCTCAGTATTACAAAAATATGTTAAATAAAGTTGCACATGTAGATATAGCGACGCCAACTCCCACACTATTTTAATTTGTAGATGTTTTATGTGTGTGTGAAGTATTTAGCTTGTTTAACGTGGCAGACTAATGAAGTGGTTTGATCTCATTGTGAGCCGCCGCCATCAGCGCCTCAAACGTGTTTACTCAAGCAATGAGCCTCGAGCCTTCCCTGGCCTGAACCCATGTAATCATCTTCAACTTCTTGGTTTGTGTCGCTGCATTTTCATGATGGATAGCAACAGAAGATTGTCCCTGAAAAGTACAAGAAATAGCAATGAAAAAGCAACTCATCCCTATTAGGGGAGCATTTACTGACAAGGACTTTTCTTCCTGCTATTGAAACATCACCCATTTTCTTTTTAATAAATATTTGACCCAATTAAAAATGCAGTTATTGTCACTTCATATTTACAACATGTGCATGTTTAGAAATAGTACATTCAGTTTCCTGTCTCAGTGCTAATCCTCTTCTGGCTCAGTGACTGAACACCAAGAAGAGATTACAGCTTCTACTCCTCAGGAGTGGGTTTTCTTTAAGTATAATTAAAAAAGGGAGACTAAGAGTCTACAGACATGCTAGCGGGTCTGCAACACTTTAAGATAAACACTTATGTCACAGTGCTTACATGCTCACAGTAAAAATGCTAACATGTTGCTGTTTAGGAGCTACAATGTTTACTACCACCGCCTGAGTGTAACGTGTTAGCGAGCTAACATTGATCTAGTTTTCACAAAAAACAGGTACAGAAAGGCCAATAGAAGTCTGATGGAAGTTATTTTTTGTGGAAGTATTGGACAAATTGGACCTCATGATAGCCCTTGATTAAAAAGTGAAGGGATCAATTCAAGACAATCCAGTCAAAGTCAAAGACAATCCATCCAACACTTGTAAAGAGACATTTCTTTCAAAACCATAAATTTCAACCTCCTCATAGCGCAATAGGAAAAGTTGGAGTATCACCAAAGTCACAAGACACTCTGAAAATGAGTGACTCTACAAAGTTCACTGAAAAGAAACCGTATTGAAACCAGCTACACAACATCGACAGTGCTATCATGGCATTCGATAGAACTGGTAGTGAAATGTTAGTGAAATGTTTGTTTGGATTCAAGATGATTTAATAATATTTTTTCAGCTATATTATACATTGACAAAAAACACATTTTGTATATTATCACTGTACCCGCATGTGTAATTGATAACATACATGTATAGCAAACATTCAGTGACGTTGGCCGCTTTCTGTAGCCTTGTGGATACACTAATGATGCGCACATGTGAAATGAACTTAAATTCAGATTACATGTTGTTGATATAAATCATGTGTATTTCCTCTTTCAAAATCTAGATACAGTGTTGTGCTTAAGCAAAGGAGTACGGTTTGGCATGCAAATCAATTTGGTTCAGAACATAGTTAACATTGAGAAACTAAAGTTAGGCTTTTGGTTTTGATAATGGTTAAGTAAAAAATCATGTGTGTTTCCTAAAAAGTGATCCTCTCAGTCCCTCCGTGGAAAACTCCTCGGTACGAGCTGGGATTTAAACGCAGGTCACCAGAGTTTAAGGCCAAATCCACCCATTCGCCAACCTGACCACAACACACTCACTTTCCACCGAGTTAGTTCGATGAAACCACCGGCTGTTTCCTTCACATAATTCTCACCATGGTGGGAAAAATACCTCCGTCACTTTTCATGAACATGAATATTTTTGCGTCTCTTAACTTTTTCGGGAACATTCTACAACGGCAGGATGGATATTAGCGAAACTACATGCATACATGCATGTACTGTGGAGAGATTTGAATTGATGTTGAAAACGTTTTGACTTAAGCCTATCTCTGATTGCTAAATTAAACCTTCTTTGCCAACTTTTCTTTTCCGTGCCTCTCTGTTCCAAGCGTTACTGACAGAGTCCTTAATTAGAGCCAGATATGAGCTGCCAAATTCTTGTCAATGGTTTACTGAGCGCTGATGTCAGAGATGCAGCCGAGGTGGAAGTTGAGGCCAACGATTCAGTTTGTCTGTTCTGCTATGAAAACGTTAATAGGATAAAACGGCTTTAACTCTTGTTCCTTGTTTTCAACAGGCTGCTGTACTTTGTGTGGAGTTTAAAAAGTCAGTGTAAATCTACATAGCTTCATTAGGATTTATTGTTTTGTGCGGAAACTTAATAAAAATCCAATTAACGTTT